GAAAAAGTTTTAGGTTGTTTACAAATTGCTGTTGCAGAATATATCGTCTATGCAATTCGAAAAATATAGAAAATAGCAATGAAAGAAAAAAACTAAAGGTATTTTTATTTTTATTTGATATAAATAATATTTTGTTTTTAAAAAAGGTATTCGTCGGAAAACGAGAATTAATATAATAGGTCATTCTCTTGGTGGTACACTTCCTCGTTTTTCCCTTCGATTTTGGCCAGATATTCGATCAATGATAAATCATTTAATTGCATTTGGACCAACAAATCGTGAAACAATAATGGCTGATGCAGCGTGCAGTGTTGTTCGATGTCCTATTGCTGTTATTCAATAACGAATAAATTCTTCATTTCTTTATGCATTAAATTCTTGTGAAGAAACATTTCCTCCAATTAAATATACAAATATATTATCAAAATTTGATGAACTTGTTCGACCACTTAATAGTAGTGAAATAAATGCTCAATGTGTTAAAAATATTTCTATTCAAGATATTTGTCAATTAAGAATATTTGCTGAACATCTTGCAGCTGGAATTTATGATTATTGTGGTTATATATTAACAATGAATGCATTAAATTCACAATCATTTTAAAATATTTCATCAGATAAATGTTGTTCAAAAATTTTAATGCCTGATATTAATTTAACTAAAACAGAATTTATTTCTAGAGTTATTTATTCAGCTGAAGAACATGCACGACATTTACTTTATATTTTGGTGAAGTAAAAAATCAACCAGAATTACGATGCCCATTTCGAACTGATTGCATTCAAAGAAAAACAATAGTAAAAACAACAATTTTACTATAAGAATTTTGTTTTTTCAATGCTTTATATTGACATGGTTAAATACAAATAAATACATAATGAAATAAGTTAATTATTTTTGAATAGAGATGAACTTGTCACTCTAATCAATCTTCTATATATTATTAACTGACGAATATAAATGAAATTTTCTATTGAAAAAAAAAAATCTTCTAGAGATATTTAATATTATAAAAGACAATATCCTGAATAAAGATAAATAAAAACTAATAAATTTGAATTTTATTTTATTTTTATTTAAAATATTCACTCGAATAAAATCTCTAACATATTTTATTTGCAATAAAATAAAATAAAGATTTAAGTGTTTTCCATTGATTGAATTCTAATTTGAATTTGTTGAAGATAATTTTTAAAAGTTTGTAAGTTCGAATGATCAGGTACAAGCATGGGAGCTCCAATATCAACAGCACGTTGCGCATGTTCAACAGCTTCTTTTAAGATCATCCATTCCAACAAATGTAATTGCCATACTATTAGGAATTCTAGCATCATTCGGATGATTATTTCTAACAGCTTTTTCAGAATTTTCAAGTGCAACTGAAGATTATTTCATTGATTGATGTGTAACACCAATATTATTATAAACAGCAGCTAAATCTGGATGATGAGGTGGAAGTGTTTTTTCTTGAATTTCAAGTGTTTGTTTTTATAATATTCAAGTGCAGCTGGATAATCTTGCATAGATTGATGCATAACACCAATATTATTATATGTAACAATAAGTGATGGATATGTTAGTGAAAGTGATTTTAGTTTAATATCAAGTGATTTTTTTATATAATGTAAGTTCTACTTTATCATAACCTAATTTTCTTTGTATATCAGCTATATTATTATAAGTAGCAGCTAATGATGGGTGTGATGGACGAAGAGATTTTTCTTGAAGTTTTTGTGTTTTTTGATAATATTCAAGTGCTGTATTATAATCTCCTAATGCTAGGTAAAAACAGCGGTTTTATTTTTTCGAAACATTTTCTCCGGAAAAATGTGATCTATTCAAGATCTAGAGTCCATTGAGTAGGTCCTGGACAGAATTTTATTCAGACTTTTTCTTTAGGAGGGACGACTTAAAACTTCGAGAAGGCGAACATCTATTTTTTCGAGCACACCCTCATGGTCTAATACTCACGATCTCTGGAAGGACTAATTTCAAAAGGTCATTTAAACGAACGTAACAGGAACGTATCATTTTTTTTTCTTTTAATTTGTATCTCGCTTGAATAAATTATTTGATTTTAAGAAAACGCAAAGAAAAATTAAAAGATACAATATTATATTTATCACAAAGAAAATCTGAAGAATCATTTAACGATACAATATTATATGATCATATCAGGAACGAAAAAAAAAACGAAGAAAAATTAAAAGATATTATATTATGTTTATCACATCGAAGAGAAAAAGAAATCTGAAGAAGAGTTTACAGGTACAATATTATATTTATCACATCCAGGACAAACAATCTGAAGAAGAATTTAAAGATGCAATATCGTGTGATCATATCAAAGACAAAGAAAACTCAAAGAAAAATTAAAAGATACAGTATATATAACAACAAAGGCAAAAATTATGCTCCAAGTGTAAATATACGTACTATTAACATTTATCTTTTTTTGATTAATTATCCAATAAATCTCTTCCTTAAACTATATATATAAATTCCTATAATAATCCTTTGTCTGAATAATCACATAATGTACCAACAATTGTTCATCATGTTCCTCATCCGTTAAATAACAATACTTTCTTTTGAGTTTCAAGAAAATATACCGAACGTCAAATAAACGATACTATTAAAGAATTGTTGAAATAATTTTGTTTTTGACATAACAACACTTACTTGATCAATTACGTCATTTGGTGTTCCATGTTTACAAATATACATAACCTTATCCCAATTTACAGTAGTTCGTTCAGTCATAATTTGATTTGAAAAAATTTAAAATTTGTATCAAATTATCTAAAGAGAACGGATAAAGTATGTCATATGTCGACAGTTAAAAATTCGTCTAAAGTAGATTATCATCATTGCCGTATAGGAGATAAGTGAATGACGCAAGTGACTGACTGATATTTCTTAGACACAAACATGTTTTATAAAGAAAATAAAAAAGAAAATAAACGCTGGATGCGATAAATAAATAAATGCTTCTAGTAAATGATATATTCAAAAGAATTTCATGTTTTTCTATATCTTTTCTTTAGAAAAGATAAGATCATTATTCTGTATTAATAAACACGATAACACCCGAGAAATTTCTCCTGATAAGTTCTTATATGCATGTCAAATCTAAGAACAAAGAAAATCGGCATAACGTCTCAATGAATCTTGTTTCTATTATTGAGTTTTTTTGTTTATATCTGAACTCTTGATTTATCAATTATCAATAAAAAATACATAAAAATTAAGGTCAAATGTCAACAAATCCATTTGATCAATTAAATGACATATCATAAGAATTTTTCCTCTTGCGTAATGAGGGAAAATTTTCTCCTAAAACTGTTTTTATCTGGTCGTCATCCAGATAACCTGGATAAATATCATCAAAATATAAACTACTAAGACGTGAATCAATTAATGGTTGTTTATTTGGTAATATAACCACAAATTTATCGAAAATATCTGCAAATTTATCAAATTCATTCACTTTATCGATTGATATTGATTGAAGATATAAAATCATATTAAATATTTGTCGAGAAATTTTAATTAATAAATTAGATAAATGATCAAGTTGAAATTTTCGAATATTCGAAAATGAGTTATTTTCAGAAGATATTTTTAAGAAAAATAACATTTCAATTTGTATTACTTCAAATGATGAAAGACAAGATAGATGAAAAAGTAAAGAAATATTTGATGAAGAATAAATACGATTCGAAATCAATGTTAAATCATCAGGAAAATGGTGAACCAGATCTTTCAAGTCGTTTCATATAAATTGATGGATGATTGATGATGATAATGATGATGGATCTAAATAGAATAAATATTTTTCACAGAACAAATTCAATAAACAATTTCACGATGTTTCATATGACAATCGTTTATTTCTTACATAATCATTTTCTACATATTTTCAGAATAATTCGGTAGATTATATATTTTTCATACTGAAGGTCACGTATAAGATTGTGTTTACTTCGATAAATATTAACGTCAACACCTTTATTAATTCAAAATGAATAAGAATATGCTATTTCATCAAAATTAAGCTTAGGTGGATTATTCATTTCAATAAATAACTTTAATTTATTTATTGAATAAATAAATGATAAATAAATTCATAATTTATCTTCATTAGTAAACAAGTAACATTCATCGTCAAGGGATTCAGTTAGCCCTAGACTGATAGAATACATGTACGGATGTAAGTAGCATAAAAACCTACATTAAAAAAGTAATACGCTAAATTTATAATATGACCAGTATATCTTAGGCGACCAGAAAATCTTTATTTGGAGAATTCTCACTCTAAGTAAAGATGATGCATTTACAAATTTAATTTTTTTTTATCGTTTTTGTTTTATTTTTTATTTTTTTTTTGCTTTCATAAATATAAATAACGCCCAATAAGATTAGACAACAATACGATTTTTTTATAATTATATTGGCGCTATTTGTATATACAAAAATATGAATTATATTATTCATAAAATTTGAGTTTTATTAATCAATATTTTATGCTTAAATTCGCGCGTTAATTCTAAACTATTATAATAAACAATATATTCATTGATACAACATTGCACAATCAATCCTACGATAATGAATAATTTAAACGATTTCTTTAAATCCATACTGCCCATTTGGTCTGACTCTCACTAATTAAATGCTTTTGTAAGCCGTTTTACACCACTACCCGAATTATAGTTATTCCATTGACATTTTACCCATGATTATTATGGGTTCATTTACATATCAGTCTTTAGATGGTCATTTGTACCACAGTTACCATGGTCATTTTGACCATAATTGTTAAATAGTCGTTTGGACCACAGTTACGATGGACATTTTAACCAGATGGTCATTTGTACCATAGTTACCATGGTCATTTTGACCATAGTTGTTATTTGGTCATTTGTACCATTGTTACTATGGGCATTTGAACCACAGTTACTGTGGGCATTTTAACCATATGACTATTTGTACCCTAGTTATTATGGGCATTTTGACTGCGTTACAGACAGACAGACAGACACAGGTGAATTTCGGTTTCTAGACCCTAGCCTTTCAGTCTAAGGAAAATACTATCAGCTAATCGACAAAGAATTGTTAAAGTTTCAACATGACGTAATATTCTTGGAATAAATCGAATAATATCCTATTAAGGTGATGCACCTTTCATAGATTTCAAAGATATATTAAAAGAAAAATCAATTAATTTTGTTGCGAATGGAATAGGACTTCGAAGAGTTTTTGTATGAGAAAATTCGCTATCAAACAAAGAAATATTTCAATGAGGAACAGTATGAAATTATAATCGAGAAAGAAATGTATAAAAATCGTATATCGAAGAAAGTGTTATTGATAAAGATCATAGCAATGATGACAATGAACGCATTGATTGATTGATCGATTTCGCAACCATATATCCTAGCTGAAAGAAAAACAAATATGTTTGATTTGAATAAAATACTCATACAAACTGTTTTATCTGTAAAAAAGAAACAGAATTCGCGCTTTGGCAATTTAGTGAGTGTTCATCTCATGAA